CAGGATTTTGACACCCTGGATTGCAAAAGGACAAACAGTCTCCCAGGTTTTCAGCCAGAACAGTTTCCCTCCCCACCCCAAGATGTAAAATGCACTTGGGACCAGAACACCAGTTACCCCCTGGCCAACCAGGAAAGGATTTTCTTATTCCCTTGGTGACTTCAAGTCCTGACAACTTAATTACTGTAATTGAAGGCAAATATTACTTGAACTCTACATGTTTCTTTTTATAAAATACATTAGGCATAAAAACAAATGTTCCTTTGGTTAAGCAGAGGAGTTCAGAAGGTTTGCACGAGCCCAGAAAATAAGAACCTTGCTCAGAAACTCCTTTATTGATAAGAATTTTAATAACCACGGGCCACTGAGCACAGAACTAACAGGGCATGGAGACAAGCAAAAAGGTGCCAACCCTAGAAAACCTCTGGGTTTAGGAAAAGCTTATGTAAAACCATAAATCATCTGGAAGGGCTGTTAAATGCCAAAGTGTTCCCTCTTCCGTGATGTACCTGTCCTAGTAGCCATGGGAACACTGTTGAACTCCAAACTCTCTCAGTTTATGCAATTCCTCCCCTCCTTGACCCAACACACACATAGAAAAAATTCAAATAAAAATAAGAAATGCATCCTTAAATGTGTATTGTGTTGCTGCAACTTCTGAAAAGCAATTTTTCACCAGATTAAAGACACTCCTACTCCTAAAAAATGATGATCATGTAAAAGGGAAAGAGCAATTGTGCTGTAAGTGGTGGAAAACCTGAATATTGGGCTTTGGAGTTCCATGAGTTCCAAAATTGCCAATGAAATCATTCTGGAAAGATGAATTAAAAGGAACTGGGAATCCTGATCTCTGGAGAATTGGTAGGATGGTCCCGAGCAAGAGAAAACAACTGCTTGAAACACAGTGTTAAATGTGGAATGATTAAGAGGAAACAATAGGAAAATTCAAGGAGAGGTTGGGAAGGGCACAGGAAAAGATGAAGGTCAATCACAGCCAGAAGTCCCCTGTAAATATCATCTGTTTATGCAATTAAATGTATGGAAAATAATCTGAAGGACATAAAGCACTTTATGTACTGCCGTGTTTTCTTCACTTGCTGATTAAATCATCACTAAACTTATAGAGGGAAATCCTGGTTGCCTTGAATCCTGCAGGATCAGGATTGCATCTCTAAGGCATCACACTCTGAAACTACCTTCCAGCCACAGTTACTTAGTGAAAGAAAAAACAGAGGCTTATGGCTAATTATCAAAGCAATTCACATCACATCATGAAAACAGTCTGGCAAGAGCAGAAGCCTGAAGTGGAAAGGATTTACACATCCATGAAACTCAAACTGGTCTAGTGGAAAGTTCCCTGCTCATGGCAGTGGGTTGAAATTAGATGATCTTTAAGGTCCCTTCCAACCCAAAGCATTCTGTGATTCAACGATAATTAATATTCAAAAAGTAAAACTGCACCTGCACGTTACTCTGTGAGGAAAAGTGAGATATAACCAACCAGCAAAGCAAAGGGTGTCGGTACATGAGCAACAGAAGCAGCTTGGATTAATTCAGAGGCTCTTCAGAATGCAAGTATGTCTTTTTTAGCACTTAAAAGCTTAGAATAGGGGAATAAAAAAATCTCCTATACAGTCTCAGATCTGCCACATATGAACTACTGTTATTTAAGCTTTTGCTTCCTCATTTGGAAAGGAGGGGGTACTAATTCACACCAGTTTTGTGAGCTCCAATTCACAAAAACGACACGAAAGGCAAAGGCAGAATAAATCTAAACTCTAATTTCAGTAGATTCTCACTTAAGTGGTTTGGATGAAGAACATGGAGCCTGAGTTACATGGA